CCATGATGGATCACAGATGAGGGAGCCATAATCCACTTTAGATGTAATTACTTCCCTGTAAATATGGAGCATTCAACAGTGATCAGCATCTCAAGAATTGCTGGAATGAATTTTAAGTAGGACATGAAGTTTTAAACATTTCTTCTTTATAATGTGAGGTACGAAAGTTGGCTTCACATATGAGGCCAAGAAATTTTACTTTTGATAGTGCTGGGATCAAGCACCTCTCCAGACAAAGCTCTGAATCAGGATATAAGTACCTTTATTGATGAAAATGAGTGCAAACAGTCTTTTGGTTAGAAAATTTAAATCTTTCTCCATTTATGTATCTAAAAACTTGCTCAAGGCGATTTGGAATTGTCTTTCTATGTAATGTATATCAGCGCCTGGGCAGTTTATTTGGAGAACATCAATGCATAATGCTCTACTTACTGTTGAGGGGAGTTAATTTGAAATAGAATTAATTTTGAGGCTAAAAAGTGTAGCATTCAGCCCACATCCTCACTGCACAAACTGCTCTTAAATGAAATTATGAGACTTTGGAGTATCTAACTTTGAAAGGTCTGTTGCTCAGGAGTTCTGTATAAGAAGTGGTAGGGTGTCATGCAGATGATTATAAGTCTCACAGTATGCCGTACCTCCAGGTCTCATCATAAGCTCTTTTCACATAAAAAGTGGAAATTATGCAGTCCCATTTCATAAAAGCATTCCGAACAGTTATCTTCAAAAGCAAGATGTTAGCAATAGGTGATCAACTTCTTTGGAGGGATTCTTGGATCTTTACCTTGCTCTAGTATATGACTGACAAAAGCTTTTTTCCAGGCCATTGGGAAAATACCATGCATACTGGGCAAATGCTTAATCATTAGACAGTTAACATCACCAGGACAAGGACTAGTGTGCCTAAGGGAAGAAATACCTTCAAAGAGAAATTTTTGAAGGAAAATTTTTCATTTAATTTGATTCTGTTAAAATTTTCATTAACTACTTATGTCAAATAACAATGGTTACTTGGTTACTTTTTGTTAGTGGTGGCTACTTTTTTTCCACTAAATCTTAGCGTATTTCTTACTAAAACTTCAAACTATTTTAGCCTCTTTTTAACACATTCAGGACAGTCTCGTATATACACTGCAATAATTCCAGTCTTACCAGCCCAGCATCACTCATATGCGAAGAGCTTCGATGAATCTCTTCAGCCCAGCATCATGTATACATAACTTGAAAACGAAACGGTTTCCACATCAGTTAAGTCATGTAGCTTTTGACCTTCATGTATGAGCATCAGTTTTTATCCTGTGTTTCTGGTTTTGGTGGTTAAACCATTGCATCAGTTAAGAACATCGTGTTTATTTTGTTAGGATTTTTTTTTTTTTGTTGTCTTCATTTTTATTTTTTTGCGTTTTTCTTTGGGGAAATGATGTTTCCTTTTTTTTCCTTTTTTTTTCATGTATGAGCATCAGTTTTTATCCTGTGTTTCTGGTTTTGACAGATTTATTGGTGTAAACAAACTGGGTATTGCAGCTCTTTAAGTTAAAGGAACATCAGCGTGTTTATTTTGTTAGGATTTTTTTTTTTTTGTTGTCTTCATTTTTATTTTTTGCGTTTTTCGTTATTAGAGTATGGGGAAATGTATCAATGTTTCCTTTTTTTTCCTTTTTTTTGGTCAGGAGAATGTGGGAAAATGTATCCAGCTGACTATAATGGGTGTAAAATCACCAAACTTCCGTGATGGAAAAACTCCAACCAGTTGTCCTTTTTTATATTTATTTAAAACTAAACATACTTTCTTGGTTAATTAAAAAGTAACTTTACAGCATTATAACAGAAGGGGAAAGATATCAGCTTTTAAGATGAATGATGCGTCTTACTTGCTTGGTATATGCTTGGCGAAGAAAGCCACAATTTTCCTGTGATTTGATTCTCGTTTTGAATTATTCCACATACAGCAGAATTATTCAATTGGAATTCAGATAATTATTGCTTAATTTTTCTTTACATTTCACATTTGTAATTCTGTTTTCATGTGCATAGTATCTGTTTTCATGCTTATAGTTATAATTTTAGTATTTCGCATGTTTCATTTATTTCTACTAATGTGATATTCTTTATATTAATACACATTACTAATTAGTATATTAAGTATGTAACTTTAAAAATTGAGGTTATTATATTAAAATGATTTTATATGAATTTTTTGTAAAAGTAGGCTTAACTGCTGAAAATCCATAGTTTGGTGGCGATGTTCCATTTCCAGGGGTTCAGTCCTACGGCTACACTTCGTTCTCCGCACACTGGTCCTCAAGGGGTTTTAAGCTCTTGACTTCCTGTATTTCTTCAAAAAGTAGTAATTTATCTTTACTCAATGGATATAAAATGTACTGGTATAATATTAGTGTAAATATTTCTATTTTGCAACAATTTATTTGCTGTAATTTTAAACCAGCATATATTATTTTACATTTAATATAAATTTGTGCATACTTCCTTTATATTACTTTATTTAAATTTTTGTAAATTGCTGTACATTGGTGTGTATAATTGCTTTATGTTATAATTTCTGAATTATGTATAAATAACCTTGAAAGTGCATAAATAGCTACAGAAAAACAGAACAAATGATTTGAACATCAAATTTAAAAATTTGCCGGATTAGGTAACATTAGGTGAGTTTTGAAAGAGCAGAAGATTTTTCACGTGCATACAATCCAGTTGGGTTATCCTGAGCTCAATATTCAGTAAAAATTTTTTTGCAGAAAATTGAACTTGATTTGTTGCAAGGAAAATTAAAACTTTTCATAAAATGAGAAAATTGTTTATAGTCACTAAGGGAAAGAAATTGCCAGTCCAATGTATTTGAATTTCTAGCTAAGGTGAGGTAAGATTTACTTGTATAATGCTAAAAATGACATAATATTGAATGAACAATTGAAAATTCTCTTCTCAGATACTGAAATTTGACACATATAACTAATCATTATTACCCATAAGAAAATTGCATGTAAGAGACTTAAAATGTGGCTTTATAAGAAAAATATAGTTTAAAGAAAAATAAATCTTACTTGCACAACACATTAACTCCCTTATGAAAGTTGATGGTTTAAAATTTAAAATTGCCTTCCATAAAGCCATAATTTTATGTCACCACTGTTATGCCTATTTATGCCTTAATCTATGCTAGTCAATATTCAAAAAGCAGCTGGCACTGTTGTGATAGAGCCTATTAGCAAAAAAAATCTCAAAATAGTTTGCATGACTTCGTGAACTCAATTCAACATTGACTTTTTACTTAACTTGCAACTTTTATAAAATGCTAATGTGCAATTTTACAGCAGATATTAGGATCAAGTTATTTAGGCAAACATACATCCAAATGCGAAAACACAAACATGTGTTCTTTGATGCAGCTCTATTAACAAATTACACAGGGTTCTACTAAGTTAGTGTGCAGGTCATGGAAGAAGAGAGTCATCTTGAACAGCATGTCCAATCCATTGAGAATTGAGTTAGCTTTTCTTACTAAATAAACCAACCTTGATTAGAAGTTCAAACTCAGCTAAGCATTACAAATTCTCATGAAGATGTAGAGAGCCCCAGCTTGTTAAAAAGGAAGTCCTTACTGTCTTGTCATTGTGGCATTAGCAACTCTTTCAGCATGTCAAAATACACACCTATAATAGCTGATTATGAAAAGAATGTCTTCCTACAGTGGCTCAATCTACAATTACATGATAAAAATATCACCCATGCAAATTTCTGCATGTACTGATAAATGCATTTTAGTTACACTTGTTATAATTATTGTACAGTAAGACCCCGCTTAACGCTGTTTCGTTTAGCACTGTTTCGGTTTAGCGCTCTTTTATTTCAACCCCTGGATTCCACGAAATCGCTCGCAGCATACGGGGATTCCCCGAAATATTATGCAGCGGTAGGTTTCAAATACATATCCGAAAGAGTGTACTTGTATTTCTTGTTTGGTGTGGTATTGTACAGACATATTTTGAAGGGGTAAATGTGGAAGATGTCGAAGAAATAATTCAAGAAGCAGCGACTAGTCTTTCTAATGATGAGCTCAAGGAATTAACCGAACAAGAAGAAAAAAATGTTGACAGCAGTGATTCAGAAGAAGAGCAAAAAGAACTTTCGATGGCGTTTGTAAAAAAGAGTTTGTCTACCATAACTGAAATAATGGATCAATTCATTGAAAATGATCCGAATTTTGACAGGAGCTCAAAAGTAAGGCGTGGTGTTAGAGATGCTCTATCCGTTTATGAAGAACTTTTAAGAGAACAACGCAAAAGAAAAAGGCAAACAACATTAGATGCTTTTGTCACAAAAAGGCAGAATACTGAAAAAAAACGCAAAAGGCTAACTAAATATGACTGACTTAGAATTTTATTTGTTTTTTTAAGAATATTCGTTTTGTTATTTATATTTTGTTTTTATTTTTGCAAGAAATAATAATGTGGTATTAATTTGGGCTTTAAGAAATAAATGTTTGGTTTTATTTTTATTAAAAAAACATACTTTTTAAATTTAATATCTAACCAATTTCCTAGCCATCTTGCCCTAACCCTAATATTTACATGTAAAGATAGCCTCGTTTAGTGCTGTTTCGCATTACGCTCTACTTTGATGGAACGTATCCCCCGCGTTTAGCGGGGTCTTACTGTACAATAAAATTTTGAAATGCTAGAGGGAATTATAAACCACCACTTATTCTGATATCAGTACTAAGATGAAAGCGTTAAATCAGGTCAATAGAAATAAGCAGTAGTATATGAGAAGTTAACATGATTACACTGTTAATGTTGAAAAATCTACTTTGAATTAAACTCAAAGGAACTTCTTTTATCTCAAGATAATAAATGCTTTAATATCTTGCATTATTTATGCATTTGGGATAATTTCAAAATTAATGTTCTTTAGCTTAAGATATTAATCTAATGGTAATAATTCATGCAGAATTTAAATGCAATTAGAGTCAAAATCCTTACCTCAATTTCTGTCCTAAGTAGGGAAAGAGACACTAAAGATGAACTGGAACTACAGTCACTATCAAAATGTAAAATATTTTCTTCTTCAGACATTAATAAAGTTGCCACCTTCAATATTAAATATAAATTAATAAATAAGAACATACTGTGCCCTTAAAAGAGAACATCTTAGCATATGAATGACATGAAAATATTTTATGTAACAACACAGTTACATAAGATTAATTCCATATTGAGTAATCAGTTGAATAAAAAACAAGTTGTTTACATATACAAGAACACAGCTATTTAATATTCAATAATAATAATGTTTGTTATAAAGAAAAACATTAAGGACACACAAAATTGTAACAGTTCATTATTTTAGTATTAAAAAAAATCCTCTTAGAAGAAATGTCTATTTATAAGTCAAAATACCTTTATCAATATGTTTCAGACTTTTAAATTAGATAAAATTCCATTCCAGATAGGATACAATTTTTTTTTTCTTTAAAAATCTCAATGTGTTTTAATCTTTTCTGCTCCCAGCATTGAGAAAAAGATTTAGGACCCTTAACCCAGAGAAATGAACATACTCTTTGCCCAAGCTCTTTTATAAACACAGAAAATAAAAATCCTGTAACATCTGCTTTTTATGAGCTTATTTATACAGATAATATTCATTTTTAATATATATATACAGGGGATGCAAAAGTACGTATATAGTTATAGCATTTCTTCTTTTCTTTATTAGTAGTTATGTGTTATATAATGAGTGTATTATATCTAGACTGGTAGAGGAATTACAACTAAGTACAATCTTTGAGGTCCTCAAATTGCCAGTATGTTCCTGCAGTCAAGATTCTACACTCATTCACACTTTGGGCTAGAGGTTTTTATAGTTAATTCTTTCGCATATTTCTTGTACGATGTTACTTTGCAAAACAGTAATCGGCGATCTGAATTATGCTTTAATAATCCATGAAGTAATCTTGGCTGATACAGTTTCAAACTAAATGTTGAATCAGAGGCCCCCAAAGATCTATGGAACTACCATGAAGCTGTCTCCTCTTCCAGTTATAATACATATTATGCAAAAGTAGGGATGCAAAAGTAGGTATCCAGTTATAATATCCCCCTGTGAATTGCTTTACACAAATAAAAATATAGCAAAAAGGAAGTATTATTAATAATGTTTCTAACTCTCATTTCAAAATTATTTCTACACGTTAATGAAGCAAAAATTTTAGGAATCAAAAGGTCAGTGCAAAATTATACACAACTATCACATTTGTACACAAAAACGTGCTTTCAGGGTGAGAAACATTTCTAAGCCCTCAAGAATACATTGAACAACACTGGACATTTTACATTCATGGAGTAAAATAATAAATAATACTTCTAACTTGAGACATTCCATTAAATAAAGCTCTTCACGGCATTCTATCATCATTTGTTCACTTTTGAAATTTTAAATAAAGCATTTCATTATAGCATATCAAAGAACGATAATGTAGGCCACCAGAAACACCTCACTCCCATATCATATTTGATACAGTAAACCACACAAGGATTATCTGCCTAAATGAAGAAAGACCCTTATGGATAATTTTTTAAAGGAAAAACGTTTGTATTGCATTACGCCTTTGGACAGAAATGAAAATGCATTCATATATGATACGCTGGAAACAAAGACATTAACATGCGATTTGATATAAATCTCTATTAAAACATCATATTTTGCCAAAAACCATAAGTTATATTGGGTGATCTGGAAAAATCTGCAGTTTTTCAAAACAATGGGAGTTTTCTTCTAGTCATTTTGGTACTTCTGATAAAGAACGATACTGACTGAAGCAGATTTTTAAATATAATCTTTCCTGACCATGCTGCAAATCCTAGCATGGGCGCTGGCATAATTTTTGCTTCAGTGAACCAAGTAGAAGAGAGAACCTGAAAGTTCACTTTTGTCATGTTATGCCTTTTTATTTTACACAAGAAAGAAATGCAAGTAAGACTATTCGTAAAATTTCTGCTGTATATGGACAAAGAGCTGTTTCTGATTGCAGAGTTTAAATGTGGAAATTTCAGCCTTGAAGATGATATTTGGTTTGGTTTATTTAAGTATAGCAAAGCATGTTAGGGCTTTCTGCCTAAGGGTAGGGATGCCTTCGTGGAGGACTTCCTAAGGGAAACTGGCTCATATACACGTTACACATAGGGAAAACCATGAAAAATCCATGCAGGAAGCTCGTTCGCGGGATTCGAACCTCGGACCGAACTACCAGTGTTCAGCGACTTTACCGCTCGGCCGCTGGTAGGCTGAAGATGATATTTGTTCTGGATGACAAACATCTGCAAAGGCCTATTAAAAGAAGCTATCGCTGAAAATTCATGTTAGAGGGGTGAAGAAATATCAGACACTTTAAATATTCTAAAAAGCATGGGTCATTTGTCAATGATCATTTGGAGAAGACTGGATGACGGCATGGAGTTAACTTCTTTGCAGATTGTCAAAAAGATATTGCTTTAGCAAGTGGTACTGCAACCATGCAAGAGATGTGGAGTTGTGCATGGATGTAAAAGTTGGAGAGATTGCTTATTGATTCCACTTGACTACTATCTAAGCTTGGAATTATCTATGCCCTAGTCATCACTAGCTTTATCTCTGTCTGTAACATTCATTTCAGAAGGGGTGGAAACAATTGGTTGACCAGTCACAAGTGGCTAGATAGCTCTTTGAATTGCTTGGAATTGTTTCTGAATTCCAGAAATTACTGAATGATGAATGCCAAAGAACAGTGTAACATCTTTGACAGCTTACTTCAATGTGTCCATAATCCTCTAAGATGTATTACTTTAATAAGACTTATGAAACTCATAAAAATTTCTGTCAGAAGTAGATTCATAATCAAAATCATACATAATTTTGAGTATTATGCTTTTGATATTCAAGCTGATAAGAAAAGATGATTGGTTTTATAACTTTAGAACAGAAATTTTTTACATTAATTTGGCTTTTGTACTGTTTTAATTGCATTTTTTTATATGCTCAGCTACCCAGAATTTTTATGTGGCATTTGGTATTTCACAAGCTTTTCAGTTAGTCAGGCTTTTACATTCTACTTGTGCCTCTTCAATATTCCAGAATTCTTATACAGTACAAAGTCCGAAATCCAGGCATCCATTATCCAGAATAATCCAAAATCCCGACCTCAAAGCCACAAACTTTTTTTTTTGTATGCTTTACGCATTTGATGTTTCCTTCCATAATAAAAACGTGTGGAGATTTTCACTTAAATATTCCGATTCTTAATTTCACTTAGGCACTAAATAAAATACCTCGTTATGAAAAAACAATCATGTAAGCATAAATTTGTGAGATTAATAATTTGGCTTTGTAGCTCAGTATCTGCTTGGCAAACATCTCAAACCGAAACATTCACCTATTTTATATCCCTGACGCCAACCTGGCAAGTCCTTATTTATTATATTTCGCTTTCATCACTGCATGTTTATCAATACATGACAGCTTCAGTAATAACTCATGCAGTGATGTCGAAACTTTTTTTTAATTAGTAATTTAATAACAAGAGTAAGGCAGCCTTTTATATGCTAATATTACACTTGGTGATGATTATATATTTTTAAATGCTTAAAGTCAGGGTTTCTTAAACTGTGGGTCGGGACCTGAAACAAGGGGTCGCCAAAAATTTTAGCAGTTTTTATACTTTTTGAACTCATTATAATAATTCTACATAAATATTTTTACACAAATGTTTTTGAAAATAGATAAAGACAATGCAGACAAAGAAAAAACGAAAATGTTTCTGACACATTCCTTTTATAACATATGTTCATTTTCCTTGCTTTGCATCTGATGCTGTCATTTCATCTCTTATTTAAAATTTTCACATTGTTCTATGTCTTAACGTTATAAATTAAACTTAATGACCTAAAACCGTAATAGTATATTACAGTACAAGTGAAAAAAATTGACAATTTCACTCATGCGTGTGTCGGATTTGCACAATATTTATGGGGTCCCACAAAATTTTTGTAAGTATTATGGGGTCTGGTGGGTCGCGAAAAAATTTCAGTGATAAAAAGGGATCACGACTGAAAAAGGTTTAAGAAACCCTGCTCTAAGAAATATTCACAAAGAAAAATTCAACAAAAACTTCTTTTCATATGCTAAAAATAGATTTTGTTATTTACCATAAACCCAGCAGCAGCGGCAGAATGTGGCTGCACTGGACGGAAGAATTTAGAGAAGACAAAATTTTTGGAATATGGAGAAGCACCGAGCGGCAAAATTAAGAGATGAGAATTTTTTTTTATAATTAGGAGAAAGCACTGGGACCCAAAGTTTAGGTGCAGTGGAAATTTAGAACTTAGGAAGGCACTTTGTAGCAGAATTTAGGACCCGCAGAGATTGCACTGGGCCGTATCTAGTGCCGACCCTAGATAAAGCCTTAAGTATATGTTGGAGTTTATTAATTCAGGAATCAGATTAGTTTCAAGCATGTGCAAGAAAAAAACATAGGTACAGTAAGTAACTAATACGATTCAGGCTTAATTCAGTACACAATACGATTCAGGCTTAATTCAGTAAGCAATAGGAGCAAGAGAAAATTTAGCAGAACAACTTGGCTTTCGCCAATCTTGTGATACACAGACAATAATATATAACGGACGCTTAAGCTAGGCTAAAATTATGTTTACTGATTCTAAAGCATTTCAGTTAATGCAGCAGACTGCGCTGTTCCTTAATCTTCTAATCTGACCCAGCTTATTATTTTTTGCAGACTGTTATTATTACAGCAATTCTATAAAATTAAGCTTGAACTTTCGATTATGTCGAAAAGAGTTTCCAATTCTAAAGCTGCCAAAGGATGTACAAAGCAAAAGCATGTTTCAATGTCCATTAAACAAAAACTGGAATTGCTGCAAAAAAAAAAAAAAAAAAAAAAAAAGGATAAAGGCATATCCATCTCAAAATTATGCAAGGAGTATGGCATTGGAAAGTCAACTGTAGATGACATAAGAGAAAGGAACTTTTTGAATTTTTTTATGGAATCAGACACCCCACTTGCAACGAATAACAGAAAAAGTGTTTGTTATGCTAA